GACCGTGATTGAACTATTCACGGGTTATGTGCTCGACTTCGTCGTCCTATCGAACTTTTGTTTGGGCTGCCAGCTAGGGCCGAAGGAGGACAACCCAAGGTATGCCGAGTGGCTAGCTGGTCACACTTGCCAAAAGAATACCTCCAGTAAGCCAGGACAAATGGAGGTGGAAGCAGCACAAATATTATTTGGCCGCTCATTGAAGAGACATGGTCTCCGCTACACAACCATGTTGTGTGATGGAGACAGCCGGGCCTTCAACAGTCTGCAGGAGGCACAGGTATATGGCTTCGTGCCAATAGAAAAAGAGGACTGTGTCAACCATGTGCATAAGAGCATGGGCACAGCACTTCGAAACCTCCTGCAAAAACAAAGAGCCGAAGGAAAGCCAAGCCTTGGCGGCAAGGGCACACTGACAGGTGAGCTGGTCACAAAGCTCACGTCATATTATGGTTGGGCTTTACAAAGTAACCAAGGAAGCATTGAGGCCATGAATAATGCTGTCTGGGCAACCTTTTATCACGTAGCATCTACTGATGCAAGCCCTCAGCATTCTCACTGCCCAACTGGTGAAGAGTCATGGTGCAAGTACAACAAGGCTGTTGCCAAGCAGGAGACTCCTCCGAATCATCGCTACAACCTGCCGGAGTATATGGTTGATGCCTTGCGGCCTATTTACATGCGCCTCTCTGGCAAGAAATTGCTGGAGCGTTGTCAGCGAGGGAAAACACAGAACCCAAACGAGAGTCTGCACTCCGTCATCTGGTCGCTCGTGTCCAAAAACAAACACGCGTCGCTTTTCACCGTTGAAGCTGCTGTGGCCGAAGCTGTCGCAAGGTTCAACGCTGGCAAAGGGAGAGCAGATGCCGCCATATTGAAGGAGCTTCACCTGCAGCAGAGCGTTGTGGCCACTGAAAGATGCTCAGAAAAGGACAGTCGCCGACTAGTGGCATCGGAGAAGAAGCATGAGCATGCTGAAAACTTCAAGCATGCCATGAAAAGAAAGTGCACCAAGGAGAATGATGATGACTACATTCCTGGTGGCTTCTAACATGATTAATACACCGATTCACACCTTTTCTTGTTAAATATAAGTGCTCAGCATGTTCCTAAACTCCTTTTCTCGTTTTCTCAAAACAACATTTTTTATCACACCCTAAGCCATTGCCCACAGTATCTTTTGATGTAGCAGTCGGATTTTGACAACTCTTGCAGAATTTGAAAGCTTATACATTGATTAGTGCAAGAAAACCAGAAAAATGTAATATTTTTATTTACAATAGTGATTTATTAGCAACAAACTTAAGCAACAGTTTCAGATTTCTAATGAGTATACTTGTTAAGGCCATAACTCTGCTACCAATGAAGCTAAAAATAAAATGGTTTTGTTGCACTCCCTGGCCTTCATGGAATGCTGTCATATCAAACTTGTAACAATATTTTATCAGGAAGATGTCAAAAGGCTGGGCAGAATGCAAGTTTATGTAACAGTCAATATTTAAAAATCTAATAGTGATAGCGAAAAACTAATTGCATATTTGTTCCTAAACTCCTTTTCTCGTTTTCTCAAAACAACATTTTTTATCACACCCTAAGCCATTGCCCACAGTATCTTTTGATGTAGCAGTCGGATTTTGACAACTCTTGCAGAATTTGAAAGCTTATACATTGATTAGTGCAAGAAAACCAAAAAAATGTAATATTTTTATTTACAATAGTGATTTATTAGCAACAAACTTAAGCAACAGTTTCAGATTTCTAATGAGTATACTTGTTAAGGCCGTAACTCTGCTACCAATGAAGCTAAAAATAAAATGGTTTTGTTGCACTCCCTGGCCTTCATGGAATGCTGTCATATCAAACTTGTAACAATATTTGATCAGGAAGATGTCAAAAGGCTGGGCAGAATGCAAGTTTATGTAACAGTCAATATTTAAAAATCTAATAGTGATAGCGAAAAACTAATTGCATATTTGTTTTCAGCTGTGAAAAATACATATTGTATTAAAATTTCAGCTGGAAATACTGAAAATTAAAAAAAAATTTCAGACCAGTGTCTCCCCTTAAGGGGGCGGTTTGAGTCACCACAGAACCACTGGGTGTGGTAGCGGTGGACTTGTAAGGCCTTTGTGACGCTGCCCCCAACTGCGTCACATCGGCGTAAGTTCTGTGGAAAAGGTGACAGCCGTTTTCACGCTTCGCTAATTGATATTTTTTCTTTGACAATCAGAGCGATCACTTCTTTTTCCAATTTCCAACATGGGCATGACCGGGAATACGCTGGGTGTTCCCCCGTCACAGTCAACACAGTGGGGCGAGGATGAGCAGTTTTCCGATTTGTGGTCATTTGCGCTGCATTATGCGCATATTTCTTTGCCTCTGCACGAGTGCGAGGCGTGTCCGAATCTTTGGCATTTGAAACAGCGTCTGGGGTTGGGAATGTAGGATCTGACATCAATTTTTATGTACCCAGCCTTAAGAGAGGTGGGCATTTCACTTGTTCCAAAGGTTAGTGTTACGAGTTTGGTGGGCACTTCCTGATTATTGCGACGGATTACCATTCTTTGCACTTTTATGACATTTTGGTCTTGGAATCCTTCGAGGAGCTCTTCGTCACTAAAGCCCAAGAAGTCTTCCTCAGAGATTACTCCCCTGCTGGTGTTTAGAGAGCGATGGACCGAAACGGTGACAGCTGTTTCTCCAATGCTGGTTAGTTGGGATAGCTTAGACACTTGATCTTTTTCGGTTAGCATAAAAAGAAGTCACCGCTTGACATTTTGGATGCTTTGTATGTGGGTCCTACTTTTTCTTTTAGGCACTTGGCCACCAAAAATGGGGATAGTTTTCTTAGAGGTGCGCTTTCACTATGAATAATTTGGTACTTCACGAAAGTAACTTTAGTTTCTGTCGAGAAGTGAAAACTTGCTTCGGTGCGGCCTGTCTTACAAAGGCCGATCAAGGGCGGCGAATGCCTGTGAAGCCATAGAAGTATGAATGTGTTCAGTAACAGCGGCGACCACCCACCACGGAGCCCAACAAGGGGATGCGGCTAGACTTGTTAAACAAGTCCAGCCGCGTCAGGAAACAAGTCGTGACGACTTGTTTAACAAGTCGTCCCGACGCCAGCCGTACGCTGTCACTATAACCCAATGTAATTATCCAAGGTAGGATACCCACACAAGCGTAACCCTTGCCGCCATGAAAATCGGAAGTAAACAGAAATGAGGAGAAGACAGGAAAGATAAAAAGTGTGAGAAAAAAATACGAAGACATGGGAGGAGAGAGACAGGCAAAGGCGACTGCCGATTTTCCCTGGGTGGGTCAGCCCGGGGGTGCCGTCTACGTCAAGCCGGGGCCAAAGGGGTGTGTTGCCTCCGCCAGGGGGGGCCTTGAAGGTCCAATCATCCAGCGTCGGGTCAACACCCAGGATCCCCTTTTCCCCGGACACGGCAAAGCCACGCACGGCTAGGCGTGGGAGGGAGTCGAAATCCCCCCCCTGTTAGCTCGGGTCCGTGGAGACGCTACGCACCAAACGCCTGCTCTCACAGACGCCCCTGGGGGGCAGGCCAAGAATGTCTAACGTCGAATCAAAATGGCGGTACCCGGTAGGGTTTGGCAGACTAAGTTGAACACATCATGCAGGAACGGGCTCACATTTCAATGTACCAGTGGGGTTCAAAATACGTGGGATTCTATGGGAGCTACGTCGGGACCGATAAAAAACAATGTAACAGCTTAGAAAACACTGCAGCAAGGAACGTAAAAGCGGGGAGTTTCACTGAACATTTGTGTCTGTCGGGCTTGTGACGGTGCTTTGAAAGCTTTCAAATTTTTTAGCATGTCTGAAAATTCAGCCGTTAAGAGTATTTTGTTTAACATTTCACAATGAAATTTTTGTGGCACTTCAATACTATTATAGGTGGATCTGACTACAACTGCTTGTTAATACCTACACTGAATGGGTCATCCTTCTCTTTCATGCATTGAAATGCATGCAGGTGCATGCAGACAGCAGTAGCATAGCAAAAGCTTCTTAATTTGGATTTCATGGAATCAGGAAAACTGTCTGAATTAACTAAATTATGGAAAGTACAAGGAAAAGAAATATTTGCCAATTACATTAAAGCCCACTAATTTTCTTGCTTGAGGAAAACATCAATTCAGAAGTTATTTTGCACAGGAGCAACAAAAAAAGCCACAATGTTCGCAACCATTTGAGACTTTCTTCAAAGTGTGCACAAGGCCCAGGACTCGCGTGTCTCAATCCAAAATGTGGTGCGAGTAGATTTTATTATAATGCAATTGTGGATAATGACCATGCCTTTCTAAAAGCCAGCAGCTATTCTGGCTGTTTGCAAATGCTATTTTCATTTCTTTGCATCGCAGATATACCTTGCTTCAAGAATCGTTCGAATTAACCAGGTTGCAGCCATATGCGCCCAAACTAACGAGAGTTTGATGCCATGAAACCGGGCATATGCTGGCTAGGACTGGAGAACACATCCGAGTGTTTCGATTTTTCTAAATATTGGTTCTCAAAATTAACTAGCTTTTACTATAGTTGCAAATATAGTCAGAAGGTGGCAACATGTTCAGTTCCTTCCACGCTTCAACAGTGGTAACGAGCAGTGGGTGACCGATCAACTGGCTTTGCTTATTGCACACTTTTTCCAGTATTCCACGCCACCTAGTCGTGTCTTTCGTGTCCTTGTCTCTGTGTCGTTTTGTTCTCGCGCTATAACTATCGTCTCTGTGTCGTCGTTTCGTTCTCGCGCTATAACTATCGTCATGCCATACCAACTAGCCCAAGCTGCCACACTTTTAAGCCACCTAGTGGAATTCCACGATTGCTTGAAGTAAGTGTATTGTTGAAACCCCCTATTTTTGTGCCTTACAGGTGCAAGGAGAGATCAGTTTTCCTAGAAAGTTTTTGTGTTAAAGCACGAAAACTTGGTAGTACTCCCAAATAATTATGAAGAGGCCACAACCAAGTTACTCACACTGTACAGGTTCTCAATAACGGTGGCAGTGTCTTTGTCCTGCACAAACAGGTTGTGTCCACCGGGGATGTTCTTCATAATGTAGCGCTCAATCTTCTCATTCTCAAGAACTGCCTCACCCCCGTCAATCAGGATTGGTGGTGGAGTCGAATCAAAGTTAGAGCGGAAGTCTGGTGGAGGCTTCAGCATGTCCACGGTTGTCACCTGGAAAAATATTGTGGACATACATGTGACATCTATTCAGAGGTCAGTCATGCTCAACAAGTATACGCAGCATTAGATGAATATATGTAGCACTTCATACACATTTCGTAGTTGGGCAGTGCCGGTGAATGTAGAAAAGACATTAAATTTACATTGATGCATTTTATTTAATTATTTTACAATACTGCCAATCTCATCCTGGATCATTGCAGGAGGAACACAGCGCCACATACAATAGCAAAAAAAAAAAAACACGTAGCACATAAGTTAGCTCCTTAGTACTAGGCGCTCTGCATATCATTCAAATAACGTCCTCTGCGAACCAGTGTGGCTCAAGTAATGAAAAGTAAAGTACATCACATCACAAGCAAAAAGACATCGTAAATATACGCATAAGCATAAGATAAGGAGAAAAAATAGTGTGACGCTTGTATTGCGTAGATGCATTTAGAAGGCTACAACAGCAAATTTGCAATACAAAAAGTATAAACTTAACAAATGGAAAGGCTATTGCAATAACGTGGTCATGAGAACGTTTTGTAATGATATCACAAATGTTTATGAACTTTGTTTTAGTTATGGATTTATCTACGTAGTTGATTCCATTCTCTAATTGCACGAGGGAAAAAAGAGTATTTTAGGCAGTTTGTGTAGGTTGAATATTCAGTCAATGTTCAGGCCTTGCTATTTTACCTCCGCTTTCTATGGTAAGTAATCCAGCTTGCTTTAGCAGTTCTGCTGGCGATTCCATACTCTTGTATATGTTGAACACAAATCGAATCGCATTCCGTTGTATGCCTTCTAGTTGACATAGAAGTGTTTTGGTACGAGGAAACCACGCAACTATGGCATATTCTAGTATTGCTAGAATAGTGTATGCCAGCAGCTTTGTTTTTGATGGTGCGAGTCGCAGTCGATGTCTAAGAACAAAAAGCCTTTTTAGGGCTGATGAAGTGATGTTTTTTATGTGGGTTTCCCACCCAAAATCGTGTGACAGTGTAAGTCCAAGGTAGTTGTGTTCTTTCACCTGTGAAATTGTAATGTCGTTAATTGTGTAGTTGAAGTCAGATTTCACCTTTTAAGAGTTACTGAGAATACTGCAGACTTTTTGATGTTAATCTTCACTTGCCAGTCCTGGCACCAATACTGAACATGACTTAGGACTTCGTTAAGCGTCTCTTGATCTGATGATGTAAAATTTACTTTGCGGTATAAGATGCAGTCATCTGCAAAGAGTCGGAATGTTACATTGCTTATGGACGGTAAATCATTTATGTACAAAAGGAACAACATAGGTGCAAGAACACTGCCCTGCGGTACCCTTGATGTGACAGGTTCTGATGAGGATTCTGCATGATATGGTGGTTTCGGGATGTTAAACCCCATATATCAATGAGGATGCTGCATCGTGAATTCGCAAAAACTGTTGCTGATCTTTGCCGATCTGTTAAGTAGTCCTGGATCTAACGAATAATAGGACTGTCACAAAACGCCTTCGTAAAATCCAGCAGTACCAGGTCTATTTGTTTCTGGTTGTCAATAGCCAGCAACATGTCATGCATTAATTCAACTAGTTGTGTTACTGTTGAGCACCCTCTATGAAAACCATGCTGACATGGTGACAAAATGCAATGGTGTTCACATATGCAGTTATGTGTTTTAATACTATATGCTTTAGAAGCTAGCATACTGTACATGAAAGGAAGATGGACCTATATTTGAAACATCGGACTTAATTCCAGATTTGCACACAGGGATGACTTTGGCTGTCTTCAACTCTCCAGGAACAGAACACGAGGCAATGATTTATTAAATATAATGCGAAAATACTTGGATGACTATTCGGCATATCTCTTCAAAAAAGTTCTGGATATTGTCTGGTCCCGTCCCCTTTTTTGTTCAAGTTTAGCAACAGGTTTAGCACTCCCTGTGTGTACTGAGAGAGCTTTTACTGGTTCACGAATGCATGGTTCAGTAGAAGGGTCCTTTAACAGACTGTAAGTAATCATTAATATAGTGTGCCAGGCGAAGGTTATCTTCGTACAACGCAGTGTTCACCCTGCTTCTTTGGATTTATGTGATCCCAGAATTTTCGAGGGGCAGTGCTCAGAAATTTAGGGAGTGTTTGAGAAGCAGTAATTTTTTACATACCCAATTTTTAATTTCATATCTGTAATTGCAGTGTTCATACTAGTCTGTGTAAGAAGAAGGTTGTAAATAATGAATTTCTAAGCATCTTAACCTTGCGCTTAGCGTGTATAATTTCGCGATTAATCCATGCGTTAGAACCGCTAGATTTTTTTTGTTTTTGACGGCACGTAGTTACGTGTAAAGAAAAGTACCATGCACTTAAACGTGTTCCAGAGAACGTCGACTGAGGTGCAAGCGTCGGCCGAGATTTCTCCAAATGAACTGTACTGGAACATCAAGTAGTCAAGTATACTTGTGTCATCTGCTTTTGAGAAATCAAAGAAGGTGTGTGGTTGCATAGCTGGGAAGGAACCCTGTATTGGCATGGAACAATATATTAGATTGTGGTCGGATATCCCATCCCGTATTTGTAAAGTAAGTTTTTCTTGATCAAATTATTCATTGACAAAAACTAAATATAGAATGTTTGACGTGGAATCTATAGTGTGCACGTAGATTGATCTACTACCTGCCGCAGGTTGAAGTGCAGCATCACGTTACAGATTCATTCTGAGCAGGGAGATGGAAAAAGCAAGATTTTCCAGTCATTCTCTAGTAAGCCCCTAAGCAGGACAAGTTTATTTTTTGATACATGGCGTTGTGGATTGTCACGAAACGCCTTTGTAAAATCCAGCAGTACCAGGTCTATTTCTTTCTGGTTGTCAATAGCCAGCAACATGTCATGCATTAATTCAACTAGTTGTGTTACTGTTGAGCACCCTCTACGAAAAGTGTGTGAATGACGTCACTATTGGCTGTGAAGCTACAATAAACACAGCGGACAGTGATTGTGCGAGCACCAAAAGCTATCCTACAAAAAAACTGTTTCAGTGTCATTGATTCGAGGCAGTAGTTTAAATGAAAGTTTTTTGTTAATTATTAGGGCGATGCCACCCCCCCCCCCTCCGTGATGGTCTGTCTTTTCATATGATTCTGTAATTAGGTAAATTAGCTGGTCATCGTTTATGATTTCTGTGATCCTGGCTCAAGTCTGGCTTAAGGCTAATTAGCAAGGACTCAAGAGCATCTACTTTGTTCGGTAGGCTTCGGACATTCAAATTAACAAAAGTTATTTCCCGCATAGCTGGAAACGTGCAGTGCCGACCTTTGTTCGCTGCTCCGATTTTTTGCGTGTGAACCTAGTAAACGCCGAGACGCGGCCAAAACCGCTTCTTCCTTTGAGGCATCGCGAGGGAACTGGTCGGCGTTATTCCACAGTTTGTCGTATGCAAAAGACACTTTTTCACTGGCTTCTTTCTTGGGTTCAGCAAAGTTCCAAAGCTGTCTCCTCACATCACGCACCATTTTCCAGAACCCGTCACTCACGGAACAATTGATTCCCTTTAGCCTGAAGCATTGTTTGACTAATTTTGCTTTATCAGTGAAATTTGTGAACTTTAGAATAACTGGCCTATTACCGTTGGCTCTAGGTCTACCGAGTCTATGTATTCTATCAATGCACACAGGCTCACTTTTAAGAACATTCTTGAGAATTTCGTCGTTTACAAAGGATTGTAGTGCATTACTATCTTTGTTATCACTTTCAGGAATATGTAAATTACGAGATTTCACCTACCTGAGTGGTTTTCAAGGTCATTGACATTAAACTCTAAATCGTTAATCACTTTCTGCATATTGTTCACCACTTCTACATATACGACAGTTTTTCATCAAGTCCTGCCGGGTCTTGCAGTTTAGCATCGATTGAGGCCAAGCAATTTTCTATGATTTCCTTCAAGTCTCCAGAAATCTTTTGCAGCTATTTCATCACTGCTGCGTTGTCGGGACCAGGGTTGGTCTCAACATCGCCCTCCAGCAATAACAGTAACTGAGTAGCATGCATGCATGCAAGCATCCATCAAGTCAATGAGCAGCCTTGGGCACGACAGCACAACCAGGGATATATTTGAATGAAGGCACTTGCCATAATTTTGCACTTGCCATAAAGGTGCCAGAGCAGGCAAGTGTAAATGAAACTGGCATTAAGAATAATTACTGTTTTACGTCTCATAAGCAGGATATGATTATGATTGTCTTACGAGGAATATGAATAAGAGAGACACTGTAGTAGAAGGCTCCTGAGAGAACAGAAAAAGAGGAAGGCCAACAAAATCAATGCCAAATGGAACGAAATCTTGGAACATTGGAGGTTGTAACAGGTAGCATGGCAACCACCTTTTGAAGACACTGAAACTGAGGTATATTACCCTAGGCAGTCAAGTACTGTGGTACATACTCCTCACAGAGCAAGGAAACTCAGACATAACAGGCAATCAGATAAACTGTCCTGTGAAAACTGAGGATATCAACGCCAGAATGGACCGTGCAAAGCGCAAGGAGGACCGTGCAGAGCGCAAGGAGAACCGTTTGCTTGCCAGTGTTATCGATCTATGTAAAGAACCACCACATACACTCATGTTAAGCAATGCACAATACCTACAAATAGAAATCCATTCTTTTATTTCAGCGATCATTCTTGAAAGTACCTACTAACTGCTAAGGAATCAGCAAAAAGTAACAACTTTAGGAGCTTAAAGCACGGAAAAAGAAAAAACCGTGATCTTAGCATGGGTCAGGGTTTACTATGCTGTCTGGCTGACAGCATTGCTGGTAGACAAGTACAGTGCCACCAGGTTGAAAATTTCCACAGCCTGGAAGAACTAAACGAGAAGACTTTATGTGGACAAACGATCGCCATCAGCTTAAAGCACAGGAAAAAGAAAAATCTGTGATCTTAGCATGGGTCAGGGTTTACTATGCTGTCTGGCTGACAGCATTGCTGGTAGACAAGTACAGTGCCACCAGGTTGA